TATATATATATATGTGTAAAGAATTAGCAGAGAGCAAACAGAAGCTGGCATATTTTTTAACCAGCTGTCAGCAAAATGCTGGACGAGGTGCGGCACTGTAGACCAGTCTGGTGATCTTAAAAACAGAGACTCGGGCCTCTGTGGCAACAACATCCGTCAACCGCTGCGTGCATCCTGGCACAAATGGGACGGTGGTAGTGGCACAATTTGCTCAGCTGCGCAGCCTGAAGCCCCCCGCATCACTGTAGTTCCTCTCAGCTCAGCTGCATATTTTCCAACATCATGAAGGTGTTGCTACACTTATGTGAATTAAACATTACTAACAGTAAAACATGTATCTTTGTAGATTATGACCATTATTAAAGACGTGGTTTTAGTTTGTATTTTATTATAATTTTTTTTGTTTTGTATTTCAACCTGATGTCCAAGTGTCAGGTCTAATGTTGATCATAAATATCTGCAAATTTAAATCTGAAAGGATTACAAGATTCTAAACAAGCTTCTGGTGATTTAGATGAGCTTAACTTGTTTATATTTGGAACCAGACTGTGACGTTATTTTGCAGGGGTAGACATAACCATTGTTTAGGTTGTCTGAGACAACCTATTTTCATTTCGGACAACCAGATCCTGCCTCCTGGTTGTCCGGTGGACAACCAAGAAAAAAATGACCTTGGAATAAAATTCTCTGCCGCGGGTGTCCATCATTTGTAAAAATGAAAGGGAGAAAAAACTTTGTAAAGCTGAACAGAACACTAAACTGTAACTTTTAATAAGGTCACGTACACAGTATACTACTACTTAGGTGAAAATGTTTGACCTATGAGCAGAAAGAAGTTTATGAATATTGGGTAACCTCTAAATTTTATTAGCAACATTTTTGCTGCTTTACTCCCTGAGCCTTAAATACTCTATTTCAAAGAAGGGAATGAGGAAGTTTTATTCATGCAGATCCTGTCAACCTGGCTGACTGAGAACAATTGTATATAATAAACTTTGTCTACAGAAAAATATAATTGTTAAATTACATTTTTCTTGAGATTGTTTTGGACAACCAACATGTTTTGCGGACAACCAGGTTTTGTCAACAGGTTGTCCGCYGGACAACCTGAAAAATATCCTTATGTCTACCCCTGTTTTGATCAATGCATTTAGATCTGAAGAATAAATTGCTTTAATAATGCTTTAATAAATAAATTTACATGCGACTCTGATGTGGTCTGGTCGGGTCGGTCCAGTGCTCGCAGAAGCATGTGCAGGAAATGCGAGATTGCGCCATAAATCCAGTGATAAATGTGGAAGTCAGGACAAACTAATTCATTCTGTGATAGACGGAGTAAACAATTGAAACTGCATCAATGTTGTAAATGAAACTTTTGATTTCAAAATAAAATCCGGATGTATCATATGTTGAAGCTGCATGTTTCCATCAGTTTTCCAAAGAGAATGATACATTTTGACAGTATTTATGTATAAATATTTCCATAATGTTTATTAATATAGGACGGGTTTTGACAAAGCTTGTCTGATTTTGGTTAATTACTTCGAAAATATGGAAGTTGTGCTCGTTCCTTTTCCTGTTTGTGCGACGTGATCGTAGTAGATTGACTCTGGAGCAGTTCTGGCATCGGGCAATCAATGCATGTCTCTCGTATTATAAAGGAGCATCCACGAGGTGCCGTAAAGAGAACCAGTGTGTCGTGACGCAGACACACGGTGTCACAAATCGGTCTAGGGTATCGGAAAGATGCCCTAAAGCCCCTCTGGCTAAATGCCTGGCTTTATTCCACTTTGATGCAATTTTTTTGGCTCATCAGCTCTCTTATACATAATCTGTATTTCCAAAATGTTTCTTCGTATTCTTTATTCAGAACTCAAACCTCTAAATAGCTGAATCAACAAAATCAGTGCTTGAGCTCAAAGAAACCCCGAGTAGTAGTAGCCTGGGATATATTTTTAGCTTTCCCTTTGAACTGAAAGTGAGAGACAGACCCTACTCGGACTCTTTCAAGAACCAGTACTGCTGCCCCGAGGCCAGGACCGGGGATTTCAGCTCACATTAGACTCTTTGATGCAGCAGAACCCCAGGAGGAAAACTTTCTAAGGCCTTGTAAAGTGGATGAGAGGAAAACATCACACACAATGCCAACCTTGTTTGCTTTTCTTTTTTGTGTGCTGAAGAATTCTTGTGTTTGTTTACTGAAAACCAAAGACTTAAGTAGATTATGGATATGTTTGCCTTATTTAGTTTTTTTTTCTGCTTCACTATTTTTATAGAATGTTTTGAACATGTTACTTTATTTTTCATTTAGTGTTCTCTGGCTGTAACTGTTTCTCTTTATCATCCAAGTTGGACGCATGTTTTACAGATTTTTTAAGTGTTGCTGTATTTTATAAAAAAAAATCAAACTGCCTTTTATGTCCAACAAAAAAGCCTGTTTTTCCTTCAGCTGTAATTTAATTTGACGTCTGTCCTCCCTCAGGCTTGGATGCAGAACTCTCCTACGTACGAGATGACGTGGTGAATCATTATGCTCTGTCCTTCAACATGCCTGTGCCAACTGAGACCAACAGCCTTTACTTCATGTGGTATTCCAAGTCAAAGGTCAGGATCAGCCTTTCTCTCTCACTCCTACACCTTTTCTTATAACTCTGATGGGTGAACATGTACTTGCTTTTCAAAGGTTGACTACCGGCTTGCGTTCTACCTGGAGAACCCTGTTGTCCTGAATCCTCCACAGAGCAACATCTCCAATCAGGGAGAGGTCCCTCGTGTTCCCTCAGGTCTGTTAAATATACACGTTAATATTTTCTCATTTATCAGATTTATAGGTGTTTAAAACTGACACCTCCTTGTTCTGTGTTAAACATATGAAGAGAGAATTAGGAAAAGAAAAATTGATTTAAGCTTTTTTTTAATTCTTGAATGCAGAGATACTCTTCCTGGCTCATATCAGAAAGGTCATCTTTCTCTAAAAGAAGGCTACACAAGCAGCTAGTTAGCTTAGCATTGCATGAGGAGCAGCAGTCCTTTGTTAGCCCCCTCCAAACAGGAAAATGACCCTCTATGCTCTCCATGACTTATTAGAATGTAATAGATAAAAAAAAACTTTCTTTAGTGTGAAGCCAATCATAACACTTCATCAATCTTAGAACTCAATAAATAAATGTTCCTGTTATTTTCTGGCTCAGAAACACCCTCCTGAGCCCTCACTCCACATTATTTTTCAGTAGTGCCCTCTGATGATGGTACTTCCATGTATGCTTATCAAAAATCCTTTAGAAGGTGGTAGCTGAACAAATGATTTGCTGTTTGGAGGAAAATGACATTATGGACATTTTTCAGTCTGGATTTTGCAAATTGCACTCTACAGAAAAAGCTTTATTAAAGGTTTCAAGTGACTTGTTGATGGCAGCTGACTGGAAACTACACTGTGCTGGTTTTATTGGACTTAACTTCAGCATTTGACACTGTAGATCTCTCTGTTCTTATCAACAGACTGTGAGATAATTTTGGTATTTCTGGCTCTGTGTTAAACTGGTTCACCTCTTATTTATCTGAATGGTCTTTTACTGTTTTTATGAATCAGGTTTACTCTGATGTTGAACCGCTGTCTTGCAAGGTTCAGTTTTGGGTCCAATCCTCTTTTTATTGTACCTGTACCCTTTAGGGGGTATTTTAAAATGTTACAGTAATGTGTCCTACCATCTGTATGCTGATGACATACAGTTGTACTGTTCCTTTCGACCCTCTGAGTTCTTCAAACTATCTGAACTCAGTAACTGTCAGAAGTCAAAACATGGCTGAACAACAACTACCTGCAGTTAAATGCAAACAAGCGCGATAGTCAATAAATCAATTAATCGCACGATAACTTTTTTTTAGGTCGGTTAAAAAAAAGACGGCGATAAGT